TCAGTGACTCCAGGAAGCAGACAGAACATAGTTTACTACTTGATCAGTATTCCAGCTACACTAGCTCCAACCCTCATGAACAGGAGTATGTCCAGATGCTAAACCAAGTGCCTGCTTGTGTAGCTTGAAAGGGTGCACTAGGGATATCTTTCTCCTTTTAATACCTCATTTGAACAAACACAATACTTGATATGAAAAAAGAAATTTCCTCTCTGCCTTTGCATCACCCAAAATTTGCCTTGCAAAAGAGAAGTTTTTCCTGGATTGTTTATGTTAGCTTCAGTCTCACTGGTGATTGTTCTCAAAGATACCAATATCAGATCCTCCCAACTGCATTCCCTTAAAGAAATTATGAAGACCCTGTATCTTTATGGCATGACCATTTGCGGACCCCATCAGAGCTGAGAAAAATAATTCAGAAACAAGCTCTTTTTAATACTTCTCTTAGCTACTCTCATTGACTCCCAAATATACATCTTTTTTTTTAAAGAGAGAGAGAATTTTTTTAATATTTATTTTTCAGTTTTTGGTGGACACAACATCTTTATTTTATTTTTTTTATGTGGTGCTGAGGATCGAACCCAGTGCCCTGCGCATGGCAGGCGAACGTGTAACGGCTTGAGCCACATCACAGCCCCCAAATATACATCTTAATCTCAGATCCTTCTCTGATCACAGACCTGTAATAACTGCTAGACACCTCAACTTGCCTGTTCCATGGGTATTTAAAGTGCACCATGCCATGGACTGAACTCACTATTTCTGTCCCATTCTAGTCTTATTCTCAGTGACCAGCCACATTATCCTCTGGGTTGCCCAAGCCAGAAGCCTGGTTCCATCCTCAACCACTCCTTATTTACCCCTCTACATTTACCATCAAATAACAGACCCTATTGCTCTCTTACGTTCTTCTACTTCTTTCTGTAACTGCTAGCACTGCTTTGGTTCAGTTTGCTGCTCACTCTTTGGAATTGCAGCTATTCTCTTAACTAGTGTCCCTGCCCCCAGTCTTACCAGCTTTGGTCCAATCTCTAGAGTAATTTTTATAACTCAAATATCTGATCATATATCCTACATTTGAAATAATTCAATAAAACCTGCACTGTCTTCAAAAGAAAAGTCCTTCATCTAACTCACCATAATTTTATTATTTGATCTTAGCTGATCTACCTAGCTTCACATGATGCTCCATACCTTATTCTTCATAATCTATACTTGGAGAATTGCATTTCTCAAAATTAAAAAAAAAAATATTCCATTGCTTTTGGAATCTTGCATATTATGATTGAAATGTTCACTCATGGTCATCTGTGTGTCCTCTTTCCCAACTTCATTTTCCTATATACTCTTCCAGGAAGTCTTCCCTAGCATCTACTCCTACTCAGAAATTTACTCCCATTGAAATCATGACTTATCCTTTACCTTTTAGACTGCCTTCTAGAATTGCCTTCTAGACTGTCAATTCTTTGGGAGGCAGAACCATAAAATGTTTGTTGTTAAGTTCCTAGTGTTTAACATAAAGATTGGCCCGGAATAAGATGTCAAGAAAGATAAATCTGAATAGTATGACATAAGAAAGGCAACAAAGTAGGAAGACCTGGACCCTCATTTACCCTATAAAGACACCAATTCAGCAACAATCCACAGAAAAATTCCCTTTGTGAGGAGACATAAACTAATTGAAAGACTCTACATCCCTGAAAGAACACAAAATCAAACTAATCAAAACCTGTGGAGAAACTTGGGAAGCTTCTTGCCATGAACCTTGCCCCAAGAGCAGCACCATACAATCAGGAAGAGTCCCCATGGCTTCATCAGGCAAGGTTAGAGATTAGTTTGCATGTCTAGCATCCCAACTTTTCTAAAGGAGTTCCCTAAAGCACTGCCTTCTGTCTTGTCAGACTTGGAGCTCTGATGTGTCTGGCACAGTCTAGCCACACAGGGGAGAACAGAGGTAGCAGCATGGCTGGAAGACAATGATGACCCTTCCCCCTGCTCTACACATAGTAAATGGACTAAAAAGCCCAGCTCTCAGTTTCTCTCTGGAGAGGAAATGTTTATCTATGTGTTCAGAGTGTCAGCTCCCCAAATCTGCCTAAAGTACTGGCATATGATTCACCAATCTTGAAACTTTGATGGGTCCAGGACAGTCTAGCCATCCAGAAGAAAATAAAGATGGCAGCTTCAGCTGGAGGGTGCCATAACCCTTCCCTGAGTTAATCAATCAAGTAATTCAAATGTATAGTTTTCAGCAAAATTTCACAAGAGTAGACAAATACCATAGCTGCTTGATTTTCTCTGGCTCTCTGGAAAAGGAAAGACTTTGTAGAGGCATGAAAAATCTCTGGGCAAGCTAATAAATGGGGGGTCCTTTCCTGTATGCAACCATTCCAAGAAGTCTGTGGGAGCTACCCATTTTGTTTAATGCACAGATAGCAAAACAGGGAGTAAGAAAGTTGAAGAATTTTGAAAAGATATTCCAAAGACAGAAATAAGATAAATCATCTCAGATTGACCCTTAATAATATGGAATTATATGATTTCCCTTAAAATAATTCCCTAAAAATAATTCTCTTCAAGATGCTCACTGAAGTCAGGAAAACATGTGTGACCAAAGGGAAAATTTCAACCAAGAGAGAAAATATTAAAAAGTGAAGGACAGAAATAGAACCCAATAGCTAAACTGAAAAATTCACTAGAGAGATTCAATAACAGATTAGACTGTGCAGAAGAAAAGATCAGTGAACTCAAACACAGGTCACTGTAAATAATTAAGTCAGAAGAAAGAATGAAAAAAGTGAAGAAACATAAAAGGACTCATGGAATACTATTAGATGGATAAATATATACATCATAAATGTTTTAGAAGGAGAGAGAGAGGACCATAAAGCTTATTTAAAGAAATAATGGCTTAAAACTGCCCAAATCTAGAGGAAAATAGACATTCAGATCCAAGAAACCCAAAGACACCAAATAAGATAAACCCAAAGAAATTCACATCAAGACACATTGTAATCAAATTGTCAAAAGACAGAGAAATTTGAAAGCCAGAGGGAAAAAGAAACTTATCACATTCAAAGAAACCCCATAAGACTATCATGGATGTTTTTAGCAGAAATCTTGCAGGTCAGAAGGGGGTAGGATATATACTCAAAATGCTGAAAGAAAGAAAAAATAACTGTGAAGCGAGAATATTATACCAAAAATGAACGAAACAGGCTGGGGTATAGCTCACTGATGGAGCACTTACCTATAATATCTAATGCCCTGAGATCAATTCTCAGCAACACACACACACACACACACACACACACACGAGTAAGAAGATTCTGAAAAGGTGATGGAGTAAGAAATATCAGGAATCTGTCTTTCCAACCAATCCAACAATTACTCTGTCACAATCTGTCAGATGTAACTATTTTAGAACTTGAAGTCTATTGAAGACTTGTAATTTTCAGGTGAAGGCTTGGATGGTAAATGCAATTAGTTCTGGTCAGTTCAGTTCTCCACAGATTAACGGGTTGTCCATTCCCCACATTCTTACCCCATGGCAGGTAGCCATGCATGTATTCCTGGAGCAATTTGTATACAGTTTGTAGGAGCCATGTTGAGTAAAAGGGACCCTGTCCTCCAAATATTTAATAGCTGTGCTCTGATTTCTGCTTCTGATTATATAGGTGTAGACAGAGCTGGTGGCCATTGTTGCATCTCACTCCCCACATTGTTGCAACTCCCTCCCCTCCAAATGACTTTTCCCCTTAATTTTTCTCTTTTTCCCTTTTGGGAGCCAGATATTAAAGGCTAGGACAATCAAAAGCAACCATATATAGAAAGGAAACTAAAAAGTCATCATACATGTGCAAGGAAAGATAAAGTCTCAGAAAATACCTGAGAAGACCTTAAGTTTATGTCCTAGGCTGATTTTTAACACAGAGACAACCTACAACAATTATTTTAAATGAACAATAAACCCCAGGAAAGGGAATCTGATTTCCAGAGATAGCACATTATTAGATTCAAATGTATAGTTTTCAACAAAATTTCACAAGGAATAAAAGAAATGAAAGAAATAGAAGAGTTCAGAGGAACAAAATGAACATTAAAAACAATCTCTGAAAAAAAGGACTGATGGTGGATCTACTAGACAACGCTTTCAAAACAATGGTCATATGATGCTCAAAGAACTAAAAGAAGACACAGAGAAAGCAAATAAAACAATGTATGAATAAAATGAAAATATCAATAGATATAAAACCTTAAAAGAAACCAAATAGATATTCTTGAATTGGAAAGTAAGTAACTGAAATGAAAAATTTACTAGAGGACTTCAGTAACATGTTTGAACAGGCAAAAGAAAAAACTTGAAATGAGGACAAAGGAAACTGTCAAGTCTGAGAAACAGAATGAACACATATTAAGAAATGTGACCAAAGCATAGGGGCACTATGTGTTACTATTAAGTAAAACAACTTATACTTTGTGGAACTCCCAGAAGGAGAAGAAATAGAAAAAAAGGTCAAAAGAATAAAGGAGCAATATTTTTTAAAAATCTCAAATTTGATGAAAGTCATGAATATAAACATTTAAGAAGCTCATTGAGCTCGAAGTAGGATGATTCAAACAGACCCACACTGGTAAACATAAACTATCAAAAATTAAAGAAAAAATACTAAACACAAAAGAGAGGACATCACATAACAAGGGATCCTATATAAGATTGTCAACAAATTCCTCATCCAAAACTTTGGAAGCTAGTAGGTAGAGGTCTCATATATTCATAGAAAAAAAAAAAACTGTCAACCAAGAATCCTAGATAAAACTGTCCTTCAAAAGTGACAGAAATTAAAACATTCTCAGATAAACAAAAGCTGAGGGTCTTCATTACCATTAAACCTGCCATGCAAGAAATGCTGACAGGAAGTCTTTGAGGTTGAAGTGAAAGACACTACAGAGTACCTGAGTAACTTGGAGTTATATGAAGAAATAAACATCTCAGGAGCTCGCGGCGGCCGTTGGGCGTGCTTTGGTTTAGTGGCTCCATCCATTTTGGCCGTGGTTCGCGGTCGCCTCTAGGGCTTGAAGTGCCCGCCAAGTCGGAACTGGCCAAGAACAATGCTGCCCGGTCCACTTCGACTTTAAGGCTAGAGGAGGGTCTCCGACCTTTTTCAGGTTGCTGACAGCGTCCAGCCCGAGGCAGCCATGGCCACGGGCTTCTCCTTCGGGTCCGGGACGCTGGGTTCCACCACCGTTGCTGCGGGTGGGACCAGCACTGGCGGCGGTTTTTCTTTCGGGACTGGAGCATCTAGCAACCCTTCTGTGGGGCTCAATTTTGGAACTCTTGGAAGCACTGCAACTCCAGCAACTACGTCTACTTCTTCTGGTGGTTTTGGAACTGTACTCTTTGGATCTAAGCCTGCCACTGGGTTCACTCTAGGAGGAACAAACACAGGAATAGCAACAACTATAACTACAGGACTAACTCTGGGAACACCAGCCACTACATCTGCATCTACAACTGGCTTCAGTTTAGGATTCAATAAACCTGCAGCATCTGCCACACCATTTGCTCTTCCTATTACTTCTACCTCAGCAAGCGGTCTCACTCTTTCATCTGCTCTGACATCAACTCCAGCAGCATCCACTGGATTTACTCTAAATAATCTGGGAGGAACAACAGCCACAACTACAGCTGCATCAACAGGCCTTTCTTTAGGGGGAGCCTTAGCTGGTTTGGGAGGTTCACTTTTCCAGAGTACAAACACAGCAGCATCAGGACTTGGACAAAATGCTTTAGGCCTGACTTTGGGAACTACAGCAGCTACTTCAGCTGCAGGCAATGAAGGCCTTGGTGGTATAGATTTTAGTAGCTCATCAGATAAAAAGAGTGACAAAACAGGAACAAGACCAGAGGATAGTAAGGCACTGAAGGATGAAAATCTACCTCCTGTCATCTGCCAGGATGTTGAAAATCTCCAGAAATTTGTGAAGGAACAAAAACAGGTCCAAGAAGAAATTAGTAGAATGTCTTCAAAAGCAATGCTTAAAGTACAAGAAGATATTAAAGCTCTGAAGCAACTTCTATCATTGGCTGCCAGTGGATTACAGAGAAACACTCTTAATATTGATAAATTGAAAGTAGAAACTGCTCAGGAGTTAAAGAATGCTGAAATAGCTTTAAGAACCCAAAAAACACCACCTGGACTTCAGCATGAAAATACAGCTCCTGCTGACTACTTCAGAATCTTGGTTCAGCAATTTGAGGTACAGCTCCAACAATACAGACAGCAGATTGAAGAACTAGAAAACCATCTTGCCACCCAAGCAAATAATTCACATATAACCCCTCAAGATTTGTCAATGGCTATGCAGAAAATTTATCAAACATTTGTAGCTTTAGCTGCACAACTTCAGTCTATTCATGAAAATGTAAAGGTACTCAAAGAACAGTACCTTGGCTACAGAAAAATGTTCTTGGGAGATGCTGTAGATGTATTTGAAGCCAGGCGAGCAGAAGCTAAGAAGTGGCAGAATGCACCCAGAGTTACTACTGGACCAACCCCTTTCAGCACCATGCCAAATGCAGCAGCCGTTGCCATGGCTGCAACACTTACGCAGCAGCAACAGCCTGCTACAGGGCCACAGCCATCTCTGGGAGTTAGTTTTGGAACGCCATTCGGCTCAGGTATTGGCACTGGCTTGCAATCAAGTGGCTTAGGTTCTTCAAACCTTGGAGGATTTGGAACTAGCTCTGGTTTTGGATGCAGCACCACAGGGGCCTCCACATTTGGATTTGGAGCAACAAATAAACCCTCAGGAAGTCTTAGTGCAGGCTTTGGCAGCTCAAGTACATCTGGGTTTAACTTCAGCAATCCTGGCATCACGGCATCAGCTGGTTTGACATTTGGGGTGTCCAATCCTGCCTCTGCAGGTTTTGGAACAGGAGGACAACTCCTTCAATTGAAGAAACCTCCAGCTGGAAACAAAAGAGGAAAAAGATAAACATATGGGTTGATGTATTAAGAGAATCCTCAGCAGCACCGTTCATTCTGAATCTATTTTTCTAATGATGCATTAATTAAATTGCATCCCAGGAGATTTATAAAGTTTTGATATTTTTCCCTACTCTGGAATTTGAACTTTGTTTGCCATACTGAACATCTCTTTCTTGTGAATTTGAACTCCAGTTGTGGTGGGTTTTGTTTTGTTTTTTTGTCCCCCCTCCCCATTATTTTTGATTCTCCGTGTAAGAAATGTTGTGATTACATCACTAATAGTAGTTTTAAAAAATTAACCTAACGCCTATTATTTAACCTAGTATTAATAGCAATGTTTTTGTTGATAAGGTTTACATTATGTGAATATATGCACATTGGTTTCTTATACCGGTGGTATGAATTCTAGGGCCTATAATAGAAGTAGTTTGTTAAAGGCCTTTTGAACTACACTGCAGGGCATCTTGTGAATATGTATGTAAATATACAGAATAAAACACACAATTGTGTGTGCATATGAAATATATATTTACAGATCTACAACTTTTGCCTCAGACTGTTCCCCTTTTTTAAGGGTATTCAATTTTTCACCTAAAAGCTTCAAATCCTCACTGCTTATAGAATGATGAGCTACAGGTACCCTGTCATTTCATTTGTTTGCTTAAAGATTTATTAAATGGTTACTGATATAGTTTGACCAACTCAATTTCATTGTCCCAGTCTTATCCATTTTGTTTCCTCCTATCCTTTAGCAGCTACTCTGAATGAGGAATGCTGTAAGACTCATCAAACAAAATTTAACAATTTTTATTATCCTATAATAGTCTCATATTGCTTCTATGAGATCTTTTTTCATATAAGATGGACCTTCAGGAGCATATTTGAACTCCAGACTAGTGTTCTGGGGGCAAAGAGCTATTAAGCCAAATTGACTCTATGCAGGTGAAGGATGCACTATTATTTTAATGAGAACTTTTCTAGCTATTCCAATACAGAGTTCTTTCTTATAGGGCTAATGATATTGACACCAAATGGAGTGGCTTTGTAGCCTCTTAATGTCTTAAGTAAGTGCTTAACTTGGAATAGAGAAACAATATATTTTAAGAAAGAAAAATATTCTTTATAGCAACTATAAACAATCCCCAGTTTTAACAGTGAACACAGCTCCAGGTAATAATGCATAGGCATGTTAAGTTGCATCTGTGTAATACTGTCTATATTAGTATTAGTGGTGTCAAGTAGATAAAAAGAGAACATTGGAAAGAGAACTGCCTTAGCCATGATTTCAGAGAGAAAACATTAGGTAGACCTATTTATCTTTCAAGTACAGTTTTCAGATGGGCTGTAAACATGGAATTTCATTGAAAATAGTTTAATTTTTTATATAGAAGTTTTTGTACATAAATGTGCATCAGTGAATATTTTCAGAATCATTTTCACCAACGCACCTTTTTTCTAAAATAGTATTGCATATATAAATATATATATATACACACACACACATATATATTTTAGTATAATGTTAGTTGGGTTTGATTATAAAACTGTTGTCAAATCTGTTTTATTTATCTGCATATAGCAATGATTAGCTTTTTTGAATTGGTCTTTTGTTTTTCTGTGTCTTGCATTAAAATTAGGAAAATTATTTTGTCTCTGAGCACTAAACATGTTTTTATTCTTGCATATTTCTCTATTATTGCAATCCCCAGATCCAGATCATGGGGGAGCTTAGGAAAAAAAGGTGTGATTTTATTTTGAATTACTGTCAGAGTTACATACAGTTCTCTGTAACTTTTTTTTTTTTAAGGACCTTGCATTGTGCTGCAAAAATCTGAATATTTATATTTCTTGGTTTTTTTCCTCATACATTTTACATTTTAATATGTGGAACCACTGGAAATTTGTAACAGATTAATTTGTGATGGCAGTTTTAAGTGTGTTGTCATTGTCTCCATTGTCTTCACTTTGTCTAGAGCCTATTATGGAAACAATAAAATTTATTGTGTCGGTTGCTTTGAATCTTAAAAAAAAAAAATAAAAAAAAAAAAAATAAACATCTCAGTAAATGTAAATACAGGGCATAAAAACTAAAATTATTCTAACAATTGTTTGTAATTCTACTTGTTTTCTGTTATTTAACAAATATTTTAAAAAAGTAAGTAGTCTGAAAGCTATTATTATTATTAGCTTTATTATTATTGTAACTTCAGTTTGTAACTCCCCATTTAGTTTTCATTATAATCAAAGAAGCTAATACATTTTTTAGTTATTCTTATATTTTGGACTCACATTTATAAAAGTGAAACTGTGAACATCAGAAATTGTAAAGAGTGGGGAGACAGATGTAAAGAAGCACCATTTTTATATTATTAATGTTAAGCTAGTATAAATCCAATTTATAGTACACATTAAATGTAGTCCCAAGGTAACTACAAAGAAAATAGATATGAAGTATACACATGAGGAAATAAATGAATTTAAATGTTTCACTACCAAAAAAAATCAATTAAATAAGAAAGAAGACAGTGATACAGGAAATAAGAAATGAAAAAAAAAGCTATAAAACATACAAAAATCAAAGAACAAAATGACAGAAGTCCCTCCTTTAAAAGAAAAGAAAATTTGTAATAAGAACATAGCTAACATAATTTTCAATGGTGAAAAGCTGAAAGGTTTTCCTCTAAGACTAGAAACAATACAAACATTGTCATTCATACAACTGGTATTCAATATAGCACCAGAAGTGTTAGCCAAAACAATTAGATAATAAAAATAAATAAAAGGCATTCAAATAAGACATTAAATTGTCTGTTTGCAGATGACATGTTCTTATATATAGAAAATCCTAAAGACTACATTTAAAAACTATTGGAACCAATAAATAAATTCGTTAAAGTTGTAGGATACAAAACCAACATACAAAAATCAGTAGTGTTTCTATATACTAACAACAAATTATCTAAAAAAATTTAAGAAAACAATCCCATTTACAATAGCACAAAAAGAACAAACTACATAAAAATAAATTTAACTACAGAAGTGGGAAAATTATATACTGAAAGCCACAAAACACTGATGAATGAATCAGTGCTAAGTGAAATAAGCCAGTCACAGAAAGACAAATACTATCTGATTCACTTATATAAATTATCAAAAATAGCCAAAGTCATGGAGTTGAAGAGTGGAATGGTAGTGCCAGGGTCCCGGGGAAGCAGAAATAGTTAGTTACTAATCCGTGGGCATGAAGTTTCAGTTTAGCAAGATGAATAAGCTCTAGAGACCTGCTGCACAGCATTGTACCTATAGTTAACAATAATGTATTGTACACTTAAAATGTTAAGAGGGCTGGGGTAGAGTGCTTGCCTAGCATACACAAGGCCCTATGTTTGATTCCCAGTACTGAGAAAAAAAAAATTAAGAGGGTAGTTCTCTTATTAAATGTCCTTACTACAATAAAATTAAATTTTTAAATAGCAAATTAATCAATTAATCAGGGAATAATGGTAAGAAGGACCTTTGAGACCCCAGAGGTGAAGTAAAGGATACATGAAGCTTGGGATCTTGGTAGCACAAAGCATTTCAGTGGTATATGTTTACTCACTACATATGACTTCTACACTACTTCCCACTTATTACATTTCTGTTCCATTGACCTCGTGGTAAGGAAGTGACCTCATACTAAGGAAGATGATATTCCTTTATACTTGTTTGGTATTGCATATCATTTTTCCCTATAACTATAACTGGAAAATAAAACTACTGAGAGAGAGAGAGAGAGAGAGAAAATGTGTGTGTACATGTGTAGTTCACAGAGAATTGAAAGCTAAGATGTCTAAATTCAACACCTCTCACAGGGGTGGCCTATAAATCACATTCCTTCCTTCCCTCCAGTACCCATATGATATGTGCCATGTGGTCCTATCCTTCTCACCAAGCCTTTGACCCACACTGGTCAGGTAAGACTCTTTCTACTAAATCAATTGGTAATTTGGCACTAAAAGACCCAGCACCCCCAAAGACTAGTTGACATAGTCTCTAAATGTCTATAGTTCCTCACTTTTCCAAGACTTATCTGTTCAACTCTTCCTTGAATCATATGAGAATATTCAGGATTGATTTAGTAAGTTTTCTATTTTTTCCAATCACTTTCTGTGATTTCTCACCAAAAGAACCTCCCTAACCAACACAGCAGAAATGTCACTAGAAACTTTTAGTATCATATCTCCCTTATTGGTTCAGAGTTCTCAAAGGTTATAATTCTTATCATTAAGGGCATTTCATAGATCACTTAAGGTAAAAGGGAAATAATCTAACTGAATTCTTGTTAGAATTCTAAACTGTAAGAGGAATCAACCTCATAAAAAAGTCCTTCACCATTTTGAAAGGAAAAGGCCCATTCAACTCCCACATTAATGCTCTAGTCAGAGTCCATGCTGGGGAACGGAACATGACTCTAAAATGAGTGGCCTAAAAAAGCTACAGGATCTATCATGCCAATGCAGCAACCCTGGGTATAGCATCCCTGCCCTGGGTATAGCATCCCTGCCCTAGTGAAAAGGCTATGGTGCAGTTCATCAGATGCTTTAGCCATGGCCAGGAATGTTTTGAATACTAACCCTTTTCTCAATCCTGTCCACGTGGGGGGTGAGAGGGCTGCAGGGAATACACATACACACAGACGCACAAACACACAAACACACACACACACATGCACAAACACACAAACACACACATGATCTGAAAACCACGGTGAGAGACAATAAGAAATATATCTAAATTCTGAAGGAGTTTGTAAGTCTCTATTAGTTTATTATTCTATCATACATACAATCTTTATACTCTTCTATAATTTATGTTAATGAATCTTTTTAAAAACTGACCTTTTTAGTTTGAGTCCATCCCATTTATTGATTCTTTGTTTTAATTCTTGTGCTATAGGAGTCTTATTAAGGGAGTTGGGGCCTAATCCCACATGATGGAGATTACGGCCTACTTTTTCTTCTATTAGACACAGAGTCTCTGGTTGTATCATAAGTCCTTGGTCCATTTTGAGTTGAGTTTTGTGCATGGTGAGAGATAGGGGTTTAATTTCATTTTGTTGCATATGGATTTCCAATTTTCCCAGCACCATTTGTCGAAGAGGCTATCTTTTCTCCAACGCATGTTTTTTGGTGCCTTTGTCTAATATAAGATAATTATAATTTTGTGGGTTAGTCTCTGTGTCTTCTATTCTGTACCATTGGTCTACCAATCTGTTTTGGTGCCAATACCATGCTGTTTTTGTTACTATTGCTCTGTAGTATAGTTTAATGTCTGGTATAGTGATGCCACCTGCTTCACTCTTCCTGCTAAGGATTGCTATTCTGGGTCTCTTATTTTTTCAGATGAATTTCATGATTGTTTTTCTATTTATATGAGAAATGCCATTGGGATTTTGATCAGAATTGCATTAAATCTGTATAGTGCTTTTGTCATTTTTATAATATTAATTCTATCTATCCAAGAGCAAGGTAGATCTTTACATCTTCCGAGGTCTTCTTTGATTTCTTCCTTTAGGGTTCTGTAGTTTTCATTGTATAGATCTTTCACCTCTTTCATTAAGTTGATTCCCAAATATTTTATTTTTGGGGGGGGCTATTGTAAATGGGGGAGTTTTCCTCATTTCCATCTCAGAGGATTTGTCACTGATATACAGAGTTTCTTCTCAGCAAAAGAAACAATCTGTGAGGTGAATAGAGAGCCTACACCTTGGGAGCAAATTTTTACCCCTCACACATCAGATAGAGCACTAATCTCTATGGTATATAAAGAACTCAAAAAGCTAAACACCAAAAAGCAAATAACCCAATCAATAAGTGGGCCAAGGACATGAACAGACACTTCTCAGAAGAGGATATTCAATCAATCAACAAATATGTGAAAAAATGTTCATCATCTCTAGCAATCAGAGAAATGCGAATCAAAACTACTCTAAGATACCATCTCACTCCAGTCAGAATAGCAGCTATTATGAAGACAAACAACAATAAGTTTTAGTGAGGATGTGGAAAAAAAGGTACACTCATACACTGCTGGTGGGACTGCAAATTGGTGCAGCCGATATGAAAAGCAGTATGGAGATTCCTTGGAAATCTGAGAACGGAACCACCATTTGACCCAGCTATCACTCTCCTTGGCCTATACACAAAGGACTTAAAAACAGCTTACTACAGGAACACAGCCACATCAAAACATTATAGCAGCACAATTTACAATAGCTAAACTGTGGAGCCAACCTAGATACCCTTCAGTGGATGAATGGATAAAAAAAAATGTGGCATTTATACACAATGGAATTTTACTCAGCAATAAAAGAGAATAAAATCATGGCATTTGCAGGTAAATGGATGGTGTTGAAGAAGATAATGCTAAGTGAAGTTAGCCAATCCCTAAAAAACAAATGCTGAATGTTTTCTCTGATATAAGGAGGCTGATTCATAGTTGGGTAGGGAGGGGGAGAGCATGAGAGGAATAGATGAATTTTAGATAGGGAAGAGGGGTGGGAGGGAAAAGGAGGGGCAGGGGATTAGCAAGAACGGTGGAATGTGATGGACATCATTATCCAAAGAACATGTATGAAGACATGAATTGGTGTGAACATACCTTATATACAAACAGAGGTATGAAAAATTGTTCTATATGTGTAATAAGAATTGTGATGCATTCCACTGTCATGTATTTAAAAAATAAAACCAATTAATATTTAAAAATTTTAAAGGGACATAGGAATAATTGTGAATAGTTTTATAATAAATGTATTATTGTCAAAAAACTGACCTTTTTGCATTATACATAAAATCCCTAGTTACTTGAAATAAGGTGACTAATAACCAATGTTTAAGCATCATTTTAAATATGCTATTTATTGACACAAAAATAAGAAGAGAAATTTGAATTCCAGATGTTTGCATGAATATTTTATTTAAAAAATAACCCCCCACCCCCTTGGGTGGGGATGTGATTCAATGGTAGAGTGTTTG